TGTGAGCCTGGATGACGCCACGGCACTCTAGCCCGGGCAACACAGTGAGACTCTGTCTCAAAAAAAAAAAAAAAACAGGCAATGAAAATGTCCTTTTAAGGTATAGACATTTCATTATCATCCTGGAGCAAAACTATTACATCTTCTAAGATTTCAACTCTATACTCAGTGTGGATCAAGTTGAATTATTAGAAGAATCCCTGTCCACACAAAAAATAATGTACTGAAAATCAGGACAACTTTTAAAATCCATTAGACTAATGGTTTAAGAATATCATTCAACTTATTTACAGCTTTTGGGCAACTTTTTCTTTCCTGTCTTTATTTATTCTTCACTAGTGGATCATATTCTTCAGTCATATACTCTAACCACACTGCCTCAAAAAATATTCATTAAAAATTTTTTAAAAACTTTAACTTTATGTAGTAACATGCCCTCCTCATCTTTTCAGCTTGAACAGGGTGGTGAGTTTTTGATTGCTTTCATCATTGTTAATCTTACTAATTCTCGTTCTTTATTGGGTAGCAAGTAGAACAACCAAAGGATCTGTGAAATAACTACTTTTGTTGCTGCTCTATGCAAGAGTTTCAACCAAAGAACAGCCAGAAAAGATGGCAGTATTAATTGTAATCTGGAAACTACTGTGTTTTGTAGCCAATTGTCTTATGGGTCTATCTGATGACAAACCTTATTCACCTTTTCCACTATAATTTTTTCTCAAGGTTGAAATAACAGAATCCCAGTAACATATTACATGGGATGTAACTGTGTAGGTATGTGCATATATGTATATATTTGTTGATAAACTCTAAGAACTTTCTAGTTTTCTTCAGTGAGTGAATGAGTGTGTGTGTGTGTGTGTGTGTGTGTGTGTGTGTGTACGTACTCCACACACACACATATACATATATATATATGTATCTCTTTTTTTTTTTTCCTTAAGAGACAGGGTCTTGCTGTGTTGCACAGGCAGGAGTGCAGTGGCTATTCATAGGTGTGATCATCACGCACTGTAGCCTTGAACTCATGACCTCAAGCAATCCTCCCACCTCAGCCTCCCGAGTAACTGGGATTACAGGCGCACACCACTGTACCCAGTTTATGTTTTTATTTTTAATTTTAGTCATTCTGGCGAGTCTGTAGTCCTATTTTCTCTTGAGTACACAAAAATTAATTACTGAAATCTCTGGGTCTGATAAACTAATTCATTGATTTGCACTAGCTGTAATTCAAATATGGTATTTAAAAGTAGTTTGCTTTGTGTGAATTTAGTGTGGACTTTAATTTAGCCACGTACTGCATAATAAGGTTTCTGTCAATGACAGACTGCATATACAACTGTAGTCCCATAAGATTACAATGGAGCTGAAAAATTCCTACCACATAGTGATGTCTTGATGATCCTGACCCTGTGTAGACCTAGGCTAATATGTGTGTTTATGTCTTAATTTTTAACTAAAACTTAAAAATGAAAAACAAGCTTAAAACCTTTTAAAAATAGAAAAAAGCTTATAAAATCAGGATATAAAGAAAGAGAATATTTTTGTACCACTGTACATACAATATGTTTGTATTTTAAGCTAAGTCTTATTACAAGAGAGTCAAAAAGTTAAAAAAAAATTAAAAAGTTTATAAAGTTAAAAAGTTACAATAAACTAAGGTTAATTTATTATTGAAGAAAGAAAACAAATTTTATAAATTTAGTGTAACCTAAGTTGTCAATGTTTAAGAAGTCTAGAGTAGTGTACAATAATGTCCTAGGCTTTCACATTCACTCAACACTCACTCACTGACTCAGAGCAACTTCCAGTCCTCCAAGCTCCATGAGTGCCCTATACAAATGTGCCATTTTTTTCTTTTATGCTGTATTTTTACTGTACCTTTTCTATATCTAGGTATGTTTAGATTCACCAATACTTACCACTGTGTTACAATTGCCTTCACTATTCAGTACAATAACATGCTGTATCAGTTTGTAGCCTAGGAGCAATAGGCTGTACCATCTAGATTTGTGTAAGTACACTTTGTGTTGGCACAAGGATGAAATCATCAAATAATACATTTCTCAGAATGTATCTCCATGGTGAAATGAAATATGACTCTAAGCCTGTGTGACTTTCATCAGCATACCTCAGATCGCAAGCATAATCTGTTCTCTTATGCTTTTTTTTTCTTTTTTTTTTTTGAGACAGAGTCTCACTGTATTGCCTGGGCTAGAGTGAGTGCCGTGGCATCAGCCTAGCTCACAGCAACCTCAAACTCCTGGGCTCAAGCGATCCTTCTGCCTCAGCCTCCCGAGTAGCTGGGACTACAGGCATGCGCCACCATGCCCGGCTAATTTTTTCTATATATATGTATTTTTAGTTGTCCAGATCATTTCTTTCTATTTTTTAGTAGAGACGGAGTCTCGCTCTTGCTCAGGCTGGTCTCGAACTCCTGACCTTGAGCGATCCACCTGCCTCGGCCTCCCAGAGTGCTAGGATTACAGGCGTGAGCCACCACGCCCGGCCATCTTATGCTTTTTGATGATCACACTCTTCAGAATAGTGTTTTTAGGAAAAAGGGGAACTAGGAAGAGCTATTTACATTTCCCGTAGCTAGGGTGACCATACATCCTAGTTTGACGAGGGCAGTCCCTGATTCAGCAAAATTATTACTAACATTCCCTTTCACTTTCAGAATTGTTGTTTAAAACACCTAGTACAGGAACCAAGCAAATCAGTCTTTGAGAAAATGAAATTTGGATAAGCTTAAAAGGAAGAAAGAAAAAGCCAGACATGACTGTATTTGAAGCGAGGGAATAAAGGCTTTAGGTTCTTCAAAAGCTTGCTGGCCTTCAGTATCAGATTTGACCAAATGCACATTATTGTTGTGGAAATAGGTTTGAGATTGGGCCAGCCTTTGTTATTTTAGGTGTCAACCTTGGGTCTTTTAACCTTTTACTGCCATAAGTCCTATCTATAAAAGGAGAGAGTGTGAAAGTAGATATCTAAAGTCTTTTTCAGCTCTAAAATAAAGTCTTAAGGCAATTTTTGACTTAAGACATTAGTGAGAAAGTGTAGGAAATTTTTCTTACTTAGATTATCTTTTTAGTATTCATTGATTCTACCTATTAATTGGGTTCTTTTTTTCTGGCATCCATTACTTGCTATTTTTATTCATACCAAAATAAATATAGCTCTTACTGGAGTAACAAAATATAGGAATATATAATAGGTATTTCTCTGGTGCTAGTTTATCTTTTTTTAAAAAGTGTATGCTTTAGATGCCTTGGCAGTTAACCATTTAAAATACCTAACCTGCCTATAAGGTGATCTTAGTGGTGATTTAAATGGCTGTTTGTATTGTATGTAATATTATATAGCTCAGACAAAAAAGTGTTTTCTTGTGCATAATAATACTCATTTTTTCACAGGAATGAAGTTCTTTTTTTGGTCAGATTATAAAATTTCAATGAAGTACGGAGGAAATCCACTTAAAAGACTTAATTGTAATTAAAGTGTCCACTTTAAATGATAAAATTTTCCCTTTTTTAATAGGAAAGTGAGAAGAGAAGAAGAGCAGAAGAAGCATGCAAAAATGCAATGATAGAACTTAAGAAAAAATCCCACTTTGGAGGACCAGATTATGAAGTATGAATTTATGTTTTGATCTTAGAGAAACACATAGGCCATATTTATCACAAAAGTGATTATTTTTAAAATAACACTTCTGTAAATGTCAGATTTGGCAATCTCATTCTGTGTTCTTGATTCTTGGTGTGCTCTTAGCCAAAGAAAGACCAAACATACCAAAGTAAGGCAAGCACGAGGTGAAATTTATTGAGGGGGAGCAAAATAGGATTACAGAGCAAGAGCAAGATAGAGGTTTGCAGAGCAAGATACATACGCCACAGATGATGACTGGACAGTGTGGACCCATTGTCGTAGCAAAAAAGAAACCTTAGTTATGGTCTGGGTCTTGCTTTATGTTATCTGGATTGGACTCTCCTCAAGGCTCAGATGTCACCATGGAACTACTTTGACTGGACAATTGGGAATTATAAGACCTGAGTCTTACTATGCACGCGGATCTCCCATGAGCCTGTCAGAAAGCCATTTGTTCTAGGTCACTTTCCAGACCCTATTGTACTTATGCTGCTTGGCCCATCAGCTAGAAAGTCTTCCGCATTCTTTTGCAGTTGGCACACTAAGTTCTGATTCTCAGATTCATGGAGTGTTCCCTCGTCCCCCAGGTGTGGCAGTTGCCCACCTTTTTTCTCAATGATTATTTTCATTAAATGTATATTTCATGATATATAAATGCCAGGCTTACTCTGAAATAGGTATTTATTGTTGTCTAAAAAGTTTAATATAGGCTTTAAAAGGCTTATTAGACCTTTCCATTTGATAGGACAAATTTTTCTCTCCCCTGTAAACATGGTAATTTTTAATGTTAATCTTTTTTTCTAATAAAAGTAACCAATGGAAGACAAAATCTGAGTGCTTTGGAGACAAAAGATTTTAGTCTCTATTATACTGTGAGATCTTATCCAGAGCAGAGCATAAACTGTTCTAATTGCCTTTACATTTGAAAATGTCTAAAACCAACTTCTTTCCCCTCCTGTTTATTTGTTAAGCAATTAATAAAATCTCTCTCTCAACACATACACACATACATAGTAAAATTTTATAAGCTGATTTTACATGATATTTCTTAAGAGGAAAAATGTATAAGAAATATATTTTATAATTGTCATTAAACATTTTTGATATTCCTGAAATGAACAGGACTATTTTGAAGATGGGATAACAGGGATTATCATTGAGACAGACACAGAACGATAAAATAGTTGTAATTAGCTTATATTTAAGAAATGGAAGAAAAATTTTTTGCCACTTTTGCTCTAGAAAGGGAAACAGAAGAGCTTCCGTTGGCTGAATTTTTTTTTATGTTGTAACAGATTTCCAACTGTGAGAATCTATAATGATGAGACTTGAATTCTAGTATTTTAAAATTTTTACATTGTCAATTTATTCCTTCTAAAATGTATAAAAATTACATAATTAGCTATCCTCTGATTTTAAAAATCTAGATTACTGAAATATAAGCTATTACAATGATGATTTTTACTTTTTTATATCATAAATCTATGTTCATTTCAGAAATATTATAGAAAATACAAGTAAGGCAATAAATTCCACGTTTTTAATTTAACAATGTATGGTACAGCTTATCACCTACCAGCAATATGTAAGTATAGTTGTATAGGTGTTTATCTCTGCTTCTTTCAACAAAAGTTTTTTGGAGGGGGAGAAAGAGAAGGATGGAAGGAGGAGGGGCCTTATGCTAGGTATTTGCATTTACTAGTTTCAAAGCCAAAAACTTGCTTTGTTTATTTACGTGATTGAGCATTTTAAAAAATGTGTTTATTGGTCATTCCTGTTTCTTTTTTAATGACTCACTTGTCCATGTCCTTTGACTGTTTTCTTATTAGGCTTTTTTTTTTCTATTGATTCAGAAAATATATAGAATTTGCCTTTCATTTTTCAATTATTTTCTTTCTTTTGTAGTTTTTAAAAAGTTTGTCGATTATTGGTTTTGCTATATAAAAATCTTAAACCTTCGTGTTAACACTTTAGTCTTTTTATACACTAATCTCTACATTTGGTATCGTGTTTAGAAAGGCATTCTCCATTTCAAATAATCTTTTATATTTTCTCATTTTTTATTTTTTAATGGTATCTTCCAAATATATTGTTAATATACCTCGATTTTTTTTTTTTTAATAATGGTATAATTTAGGAATCTGTACGTTATTCCACTGGCATTTGTTGAATGAACATACTTTTTTTTTTTTCAATTTGAAATGCCCTTTCCTCTTTATTATTAATGGAGAAGGTGGTTAAGGGTACTCCAGTTTTTTTCCTCAATGAATTTCTATGAGATTTAATCCAAAATTATATAATCCTTAAATGAACTAGGACCTGCTTTTATATTTTCCCTTCTTCCCTTTGGAGTTTTGAACTGTTTTTTCTTCTGTCAGTACTACACATGTATGGATTTTAAACACAAATCCATACTATGATATTATTTTGGTTATAAGAAGACATTCATGGTGTTCTAATTATTAGAATTTAAATGTTTCTGTCATACATAGCCTCAAGAAATTACTTTATAACCTTAAATCCATTTACAGCTGAGAGGTGAAAATGGCCTAAATTAGGATTGAAGCAGGAGGAATAGAGAGACACCAACAAATTAGATACAATAGTCGCCGCCTGCTTATCATTACAAGACCCGCAGTAACTGCCAATAGTACCAACAACCCCTATATATGCTATTTTTTCTATATTTACATACCTATGATAAAGTTTAATTTATAAATTAGGCATAGTAAGAGATTAACAATAACTAATAATAAAATAGAACAATTATAACAATGTACTATAATAAGTTCTATTAATGTGGTCTGTGTGTTGCCTCCCAACCCCCAGTAACTTATTGTAATTGAACCATGGAAAACAAAACCTTTACTTCAGTACTTGTCCCTGAGGCTGAATCAGTGAGAATGAAGAACAAGGACAAGTGGCTTGAGGAAAAGGAAAAAGAAGTTTATTAATTTGCTGGCAAATGAGGAGGGCTGTAGACTACTGTCTCAAAGACTGCTGTCCTGCCTTTAAACAGAAAAACAGGGCTTTTTAAAAGGGGGGTTTTCAGCAGTTGGGCTGGGGTCTAGTGACCAGTGTCACATGTTTTGGCTTCGGGCTATTGTTGTTGTAACTATAATTGTTGGTTTCCTTCCACTTTATCTCAGCCTTATCGCTGGTGAGGATGATCTCGTGATCCTTGTCCTGGCAATTCTGTTGAGCCATCTCCTGTGGTTTAAGATACTAGGAAACAAACAGCCAAGAACATTTTTCTTCCATTCTGATTACTGGTCTTGGGGAAGAAATTCAGGTTTAATTCCCAGAAAGGGTGGAGGTTTTAGAGAGGCAACTCTGTAAAACATTTCCTTGCCTGTTTTCCTACCTTTACCTCTGTTACAAAACCGCAGATAAGGTGGGGGAATACTGTATCTGGAAAGTAGAATTGAAGGGTGTGGTGATTGAATAAGGGTAAAGGGAAGAATCCAAGATTAGGCCCTCGTTTCCACAGGATGGTGTGGAGGTAGGAGAAGAGCAGGTTTTAAATATGTTGGAGTTGAGGCGAGACTTTCATGTGAGGAGGTTTTCATATTGGATGTAACGATCTAATCACTCAGAAGAGAGATGGTCTGGCTGTGAATTTAGAAGTCATCAGATGATGACTGAAACCTTTGTAATGAGTGAGAATGCTGTGGGGAGAGCAAGTACTGAACCCTAAGGAATACCAACATTTTAAAGGATAGGAGAGAAGGAGAAACCTGCAAAGGAGCCACCTAAGGGTGCTTAAGGAGGAAGAGGGAAACTTCAGAATCTAAGGGTAGAAAACTCTGCTAGGAGAGCCGTTAACATAAGAAATGCTGCTCTGAGGACAAGATGGAAGACCTGGAATATCCCATAGATTTAGCTCCTTCCCTTGGTAAGCATGATGAGATAAAAGGGTGTTTTTTTTTTTTTTTAATAAAGGAAATTTTAGTTCCTTTAATAAAAGAACTAAAATTTCTTTAGTTCTTCTCCCACCCTTCCATTATGGTTCCAGGTTATGGTAGAGATGGGATGATACTGGGACATACTTTTTTTTTTTTTTTT